GGATGACATCTTGCGTGGAGCCCCAGATCGAGGGAGATTATCAGTGGTCTTGTATGTCTTCCATTTTCTGATGATTGCTCCCACAGTTGATTTTTTCACACCAAGCTGCTTGCCTATTGTAGATTCACTCTTCCCAGTCTGGTGCAGGTCTACAATACTTTTCCTGGTGTCCTTCGAAAGCTCTTTGGTCTTGGCCATGGCGGCGTTTGGAGTCTGACTGTTTGAGGCTGTGGACAGGTGTCTTTTATACAGATGATGAGTTCAAACAGGTGCCATTCATACAGGTAACGAGTGGGGGACAGAAAAGCTTCTTACAGAAGACGTTACAGGTCTGTGAGAGCCAGAGATTTTCCTTGTTTGAGGTGACCAAATACTTATTTTCCACCCTAATTTACGAATAAATTCTTTACAAATCCTACCATGTGGATTCATGGATTTTTTTTCACATTCTGTCTCTCACAGTTGAAGTGTACCTCTGGTGCAAATTACTGACCTCTGTCATCATTTTAAGTGGGGGAACTTGCACAATCGGTGGCTGACTAAATACTTTTTTGCCCCACTGTATCTGAAATGGGTCATATTGCTTTTCTGTGTTGTGTGCACATTCACTTATGCAGGGAAGGCTTTTGCTGATTGGGCTTGGAACAATGGTTCTCTCCATGCAGCCTCCTATTCCCAGCTAAAGAGATGCTCATTATTGTTGCTGTTGCTTTTTTTTAGTTTTTTCTGCACAAACCCTTTGACACAATGTGCATCTGCAGGTTTTAAGAAGACTAAAGATTTATTTTTGTAATTGCTGCCTTGTCTCTAGAAGCATCTCAGTGCCACAGATGAGTGATGAAGAAAAGCGCCAAGGCTTGGAGACACAAACACACCCACTAAGTAAAAGAACCACTAAACAGCATTAAACCTCTATAACTCCAGTGCACCACAGTGACATAGCTTATATGGGCATTTTATAGCTAATAGGTATAGTGCAGGCCTGCCTTTGAGGACGAATGACCAAAAAGCTCCCGGTATGAATGGGATACAAATATCACACATGCATCGTCACGCCAACAAGGCTTAGTCAGTAAAGACTTAAACCGCTGCAGCCACATGAGACAAGGCGCCTGCACAACTCCCCCAAAACAAGATGTGACCTTACAGCACTTATCTGGGACTCGCAGTCTCCATTAGTAGTAAGACTATCGGCAGTTTTCAGCCAGGTGCATTTATTTATTTATTTATTTATTTATTTATTTATTTATTTATGTCCTTTTTAATCCTTTGTGGTTTCGTTGGTCTTCCTGTACCATCAATTTAAAGTAATTTATTGAATGATGTGACGCTTTGCAAGTGCTTAATCGCTGACAGGCACGTACAGCGTCTGCTCAAACTGAGTCTCTCCAAGGAGAAATCAAATCCACAGACAACAACATCGACTGGCGCAGCGCTGCATCCGTTAACCGCAAGAAGAGGGGGGAAAGAGGGGAGGGGGGGAGAGAGTCCATCATCTGCACAGATCCGAAAACGAGATCGAAAGGTGCGAAACATGAAAGAGACACGGTCTGAAATGAGCACAGCTACAACACGCGCCGGTGAAAACCGCCTCTCTGGCCGTCCTCTGTCTCAGTGGCATGCTTGTTTCTCCCATACATCAGCGCAATTGGCTGCTTTCTTTAACTAGGTTACAGCGAACCCGTGTAATTCAAGGATAAGAAAGCCACGTGTAATTGCAAGTCCATTCAGGAATACTGCAAGAACAGTGGGTTATAACAAAGTGCGACAATATGAGTCTGAGCAGAATACAGGCTATGTGCATGCAAAAATTGGATCTCAAGCCTTACCTATAGGAGCCCCTCCAACAGCACTGGCACGGTCCCGTTTGATAACCGGTGTGCAAGTTCCTACCGTGGAGCAAAGACGCGGCTAATAATGTGGAGTCCAATGTCAAGCTGCCTCTGGTCGCTGTGCAGCTTCCGAGCTTCCTCCGTTTTCCAGTCACGCACACCTGAGCCTCTCTCCAAACACCTCTTCTTCATCCCGCCCCCTTTTCCTCCCTCTTCTCAGCCTCTCTCCCCCGTATCTCATCCTCCGCAGACCCCACTTTCTTTGCCCCCTCCTGCTCTCCATCTTTGCAAATGTAGCCACCATTTTTCTGCAGTTTTCCCTATATCCAATTGCACTTAAACACCCACTTCCCCATTTCCCTCCACTTTTCTTCTCCCCCCCCCCCCCCCCATCTCTTTGCTGTTTATGATTGAGACAGCATGCCCATGGGTCATTCACTTTCTTTTTCTCATGTTTTTTTCTTCACTTCATCCATCTTACCACATCACCCTGCCCTCTCCTCCCATTGACCTGATGTGGAGAAAATGAAGACAAATCGCAAAAGTCTTGCTGTGAATAATAGACATACTGTACAGCTGTACTGTAGACGGTAGAGTAATCCTTCGAGTGTCGGGGTTTATCTGCAGAGCTTTATAGTTTTATTTCATTCTCATGTAAGACAATACCCTACAACTGTTAGGCTAATCCATTTACATCACAGGGTAGTATTTTTTGAATGCCTTTAGCTTTATGGAGTCCACCAGTGGCCAAAGTGTGTGTGTGTGTGTGTGTGTGTGTGTGTGTGTGTGTGTGGTGGGGGTGGGGGGGTGTCCTCCAAATAAGAGGTTTGTGCATATGTGCACAGAACATTTTCACAACCTGAAATGTTATGTTATGGTTGTAAGACTGCCGCTAAGACTGTCTCTGATCACTATTTTCTTGTTTTTGCTTTAACATAGTGGATCTGGCATGTGCCCAGCTTTGATGCAGAGTGGTCCTGGTCCATGCTATTCCAGCTGGAATGGGAACAAATCAAGCCCTGGATGATTGAAAATATGAACGGTTTGTACTGTACCTGACGGGCGTAGCACACTTTGGTAACGTGGGAAATTTCCTAGATTAACAAGCAAAGCTCTGTTAAAACACAAGCAATGCCCCTGTGTAACCATAGCAAGGCATGAATGCTATATTCCACCAAAAACAAGCCTCCTCTGAGCTGGAATGAAACAGAATTGGTTATGTTGCAGCAGTCTCCCCAAGCAGGATAATATGCTTGGAGAAACTGCAAAAACCGCTAGGGAAAAATCAGGAACAGGACAATGAAAACTCCCCAGATCCGTCCATGATCTTTGGGATACACTGGAACAAGCCCAAATCATGGACGCCCAAAAGATCTGAACTAATTTTGCTAATGACAGTTTTGTTCAGGTATGTTTCATTTTAACATCCATCCATTGGGCATTCTCCTGCTCCATACATTGTGTTGTTTTGATTCATTTTTAAAGCATTCAGTAAACTCTATTGGACACTCCCAAAGACATTCTTTCTGTGTTCTCTTATCTATTGGTTTAGAAGCGCTAAGTAATATTATGAATAATAAGCAAAATTACCCAACAAAGTATTGTTTGAGCACCTTTGAGGTCCTCAGAGTTCAGTTTTAAAGTTGAAATGTCCAAAGACAGACACTGATTATTTCTGTCGTGAGCATTCAACATTCTTCTCACTATTCCAGAATTAAACCAGAATAAATCAATCAAATGTTTCTTGTTACTACAGCAGCGTTCAGTGAGCTCAGTATGAAAGTATAAAACAGTGCATTAAAAAATTTGTTTTATTTCTTCTGTGGCAACTGATTGATTCCAGCTTCTTCCTTCCCTAACACACACACAAGCCACCAACAACCTTTACAGGTGACAGTGGATGTTCAGTCCAGCCTCACCTTCAAAATAAGCAGTTACAAAATGCCTAAAGTTACTGAGATACTGTAACACTCTAGAGAGGAAAACTCAAAAAACTCAGGTTTGAGTGTAATTCAGCAGATCAAAGAAGAGTTGACCCCCCCCCCCCCCCCCCCCCCCCCTTCACACACACACACTTTTTTCTTTAAAACTTAAACTACACTGTCCAACTTTGCTCTCACCAAAGCGCGCATCCCACAATGGAGAGGACGTGACCGAGTGAAATCCACGAGTACAACACTGATCAGTGCGATGATGGAGCTTACTGATTTTGTGAGCCCACTGTCTAACTTCCTATGTCGCATGTAGCCTACGTGTTTTCTCCGTGTGTCGCTATTTTCGTTCTTAATTCCTTCACTCCCACGCATCTCTAATTGCCCAGCTACAACCAAAAAGTGGATCCGGATACTGTAGAGTAAAAGTAGGCAACACAAAATCCCCGGTTGGGTTGCTTTGCCCCGTGAGCTGCACTGCCTCATAATGTAGGAAGAAGATGATGGGCTAGACTATGAGAGTCTGTCTCCTCTCTGATCAAACAGACTTCAGAGGTGACACTGTGGGCTGAGACGACGGCACTATGGATGAGATCGATAGCATTTGAAGTTTCATAGCGGTCAGATGAGTAAAGAGCCATTAACCTACTGCTTTGGCTGGCGTCCACCTAAAAGACCCACGGAGATCAAATTATTAAAGATTTAAAAATTAGAAATAAATCAATGCAAATGTAATAGAAACATCGCGCTTTCCTGCAAATGTCTCTGGGCACAGGCTTTAACACAGATACTGCCATTAACTAATTTTAGCTTTAGCTTAGAAAGAAAACCTAGTTTTGCATTTGTAATGGCATCTTTGAATTTAAATTAAGTTTGCGAGTCCTTTTAAATATCTCGATTCAATAAATTATAGAAAATAAAACCCAATTTTATGATTTCATCAACATGTGCTTTATAGGTAATACAATAACAATAAAAAAAATTCATCTGATATGTGGCTCTTTCTTTCTCACATAAAAGACAGGTTTGCTGTTCTTTTCGTGTTGGCTTTCCTCTCATAAATGGGCCTATTAGTGTGAAAGCCGGTCGTTTGAGGAAGCGTCTCCGCGCACTTTGAGACCAAAAGTCGTGTGGTTTAGGGAGGAAAAACGAGAATTCATCAGGTAATCCACGCCGTCCTCGTGCCACTATGTCTGACTCTGTCCACGAAAGGAGAAGAAGAGAAGTTGTAGCCTACCTTTGCTTGCGGGACAGGTGTATGTTCCCAGAGAAACACAGCATCCCTCACGAGTCCGTCAGGGCACTGTGCTCGCGGTGGTTAATCTACTTTTTCACTATGGCAACAAATGAACCCCCTCTCCTCTCTCTCTCTCTCTAGCGCGCCACGCGCTCCAATGAGGAGGCTCCGTTGAGGTCATCCGCCCTCTCTTTCTCTGTCTGTCTGTCTCTCCCGCTTTCTCTATCGCACCTACCTCCAAGATACCATCTGGAGATAGATGTTGATAGAGAGAAGCAGGGATCGAGGGGAGAGGCAGGGAGATGGCAGTGTGGGATAGAAGTGGGTTTTAGAGCTTGGCTAGACAAGCATTGGATTAGTTTGCCAGCCAAATGCATTTGGGATTAGTAGACCATTAAAAGCACATACACATACACGCAAGCATGCACACACACACACATGCAGGCTGGACAGGCTTTAGATGTTGCAGTGATAGCCTTACTGACTTTTATCTCTCACTTCCTCCTCACCCTTCTAAGCTTGCTTTGACATGAGCACATGGGCTGACAGGAAAACATAAGAGTTCACATGCACGCATGAACAGACTCTCACATTATCTATGTGTAGTCTTCCAAGGGTCAGAAAATGGGTAAAACTCCCCATAAGTGACAACTGCCTCAAGATTCGAATGCAAACTTCCATTGACACTAGTGAATATATTGTTTATTCAAAGCTTCTACAAGGCTGTGCAGCACTGTAGATATGTTTAAAAACTGCATGGTGTCTTTATCTACTACAATGTTTCTATTTTCAAGTTGGTAAAATGTGTGCTTAATCTAATGAATCAAGTGAAGTAGGCTACCTTTAAAAGTGGAGGTACCTGTGAGCAATGCAACAGATGCAGCATGGCTTACAAATGATAAGAAATTGCCTGAATATGTGAGAAACAAGTCTGTGAGACTTCACAGTTGCAGCAGTAGCAGGTACAGGAAGAGCAGCGCAGCAGATGTGGTGTTTGCCCTCTCTTATAAAATGACACAAAACACAATTTTCTGTGCAAGCTTGTATTAAAAACAGATGAGTAAGTGCAGGCTTCTGAATGGGGAAAAGGACTCAGCATGAATTCAACCTTTATGGCTAATGTTCAAGAACAAACCACAAAGGTAGGAGTGTTCTGATGTGAGGCCATATTTGGCATAGACAGATGGCATTTATAAGTGCACAAGGACCAAAACCCCAAATGTGTAAATAATGTTTATAGATGCAGGTGCAGACCAGAATGATGATGGGCAGCTGAGGACCAGTGAACTGAGAGGTTGCAGTTTGGGGAAGGTTCTGCTGCACCTAGTTAAACGGTTTCTGGCAGAATATCTATGCATGTCCAAGAAAATCAAATCTGTCACTGAAAATAAAAATGGATGATGTCGCATTTCTTTCTTCTTTTTTTTAGTCTTGTATTGGGTTCTTAAATGTGGATGCCAGGCTGTAATTCAATTAGCCAAGCAGGTGTCTATTAGGTTTTGCTGTATACAATTACCACTTAGTAAACTTCTTTAATGATAACAATTTGCAATTGAGGTTCAACATTTGCTCCTTTTTTTATTTATACCAGATGTGTCATACATTTTCTAGTTACTAATGACTGCATTGATACCAGTCTGATAAACACCACTTGGTTACCAATCACTGAATACAGAATTAAGAAATTGACTAAGTGCAAAAGGACTATGGGAGACAGATTGCAATAACTGTATGCACAGCTCCAGTTGTGAAAACATTGGGATGCTGTGTAAAAATGTACATAAAAACAGAATAGAATGGTTTGCAAATATCATAAACCCTTATTTTATCAACAACAGGCAAATTTATAAACTGAGAAAATGTATAATTTAAGGAAAAATATGAGCTCATTTTGAAATTGATGGAAGCAAGATGTCTCAAAAAAGTTAGGATTGGGGCAACAAAAGAAACAGTTGGGGAAAGGTTTTGCAACTAGTTAGGTTAATTAGCAACAGGTCAGTAACATGACTGTGTATAGAGAGAGCATCTTAGAGAGTTTCTCAGAAGTAAATATGGACAACAGTTCACCAATCTCTAAAAAAAAAACCCTCAAAAAATGATTGCAAATTGTGGAACCGTTTCAGAATGCAAATACTTTATTCGTCAAATCATCGACAATACGTAATATTTTAAATAATTTCAGAGAATTTGGAGAAATCTCTGTGCACAATGGGACAAAAACAAAAATATCCAATGCCTCAGGTAGCACTCAATTAAAGTCAAGCACACTCAAAAAAATGTCCCAAGATACAAGATATTGGATTCAAAATTTCCAATTTTGATGTAAAATGTTAAATTTAATGAACTCTGGGCACACACATACCAGATGTGTCGATATTCTGATTTCATAAGGTTAATGTTAGGGTCACCTCAATAGGTTAACAGACCTGTTCAAGATAAATGAACATTGGATCTCACGCTTAATTGTATGGATGGCAGATCTTAGATGCCATTTCCATAGCAACCCTTCACTTTTATAGTAAAACAGAAAATCAACAAGCATCTAATTGATCAGTTCAGCTTGTCTCATTTGATGCCAACTAATCTTTCCTTCACACATGCACGCACACATGGAGAGAGATTAAAGTCGTTAATCACTCGCAGAGACACTTAAAACCTGTTGATGCAAGATTGGATCAATAAGTGAATTAATATTGATGAAGCTGAGACAAATCAATGACATGTGTTAGGATGAACTGTGTCAAATGATGGAGAACTGGACTGAATGATATGATGGAGAAAAATCATCCACTGAATCATCTGGAGCATTTTTCTGACCCTGATACTGTTCAACAGAGTTTGTGGTTGCACAGAGCAGACAGAAAATATAACTGGAGTGACAAATTAATCATCCCAAGAAAAATTCACCCTGCAAAACACACCTGCACTCTGTATGTGTGTTTGTGTAATCAGTGTGTAATACTGTGCATCAGACACATATAACATCTATAGGGTAAAAGTCTTTTTAACGACACTCCTCCGCAAATCACAAGCACAACAGACTCACAGTCACAGTCGGAAAATCAATTATTCAATGGCATTTCAAAATAACAGTGGATACCCGTGGTTGCCATAGACACATAGCTGATTTACAGGGTTGTCACTTCTCTGTGATATTCCCACTCTAAGTAGGACAAATAGGGGGGAAAAAAACCTACAAATCGCACAATGCCAAAAGAGAAATGAGGACGTCAGTTATGAAACATGTAATGTGGCTGCTGTTTCATTGAACAAGTGGAGAGTGGGTTTTAATATGACTTAAGTAGACTGCAGATTTGTCATCAAGCACATAAAGCACAAAAGACAGACCTGTCCACGTACTTTACACATCGTGGAGAAGTTCTGCAAAAAACTTGAAACAAGTGAAAAACCAGTAAGAAAGAAAAAGTCTCACATCTTTGGCAGATCTATTTAGAAAAAACTCACTGCAGTCACTGTGGGTTTGGCAATGCAATAAATCAAAATGGTGTGTATATTTTTTATAATATATCCAGGGAAATGTAAATTTAAATTTTAAAGGGTTTCAGGGAGGTTGCTCTCAATTCTGCAGGCAGGCTGTTCCAGATACTGGGTGCGTACATTCTGAAAAGCAGCCTCAGTGTCGATGTAAACTGTCAGCACAGGTTGACAAGCTGTCACAGTGTCTCTGACTACCAGGATGCTGTGATAACAGGGATGGCACAGAGATTGGGGAGACTGCAGCTCTGCGTTAGCTTTGCCCTGCAGAAATAAAATAAAACTTTGTAAAATCGCAAGGAAAGTATATCACATTTTAAAAAGGAAGACAAGTAAAAAGGGGGGGGGGGGGGTTCTCCACAACTTGAGGTTTCATTTATAGAAACTGTTTCTGGATAAAGATTAGAAGCTTCAACTCATAGTTTATGAAAATAATAGCTTTTGAGTATCTCTTCTGCACAAGCATACGCACACACACAGATGAGATGCGACAGGTGCAGTTAGGTCTGTTTTCAAGACTGAGCTGAAATTCTTCTTGTGATTTTCTTTTCTTCTTTTTACAGATTTTCAAGTGCACATTAGATGCATTAAAAGAAAAACAAAGACAACTTCCTCGTTGATCTGTGGAGGTCAGTTTTGTACAGGTTGGCTTTTAAAAGCCTGCGGGAGTTTTGTGAGATGTCAAACGTAAAACAACCGTAAGAATCCCCTTCAGCTAGACAAATCAGCCGTCATCTACCTCCTCTGTTATCTCATTACGCATGATGAGGAGGACTCTGACTGCGTGCAGTAATCGTGCTGTGACAGGCAACTTCCCTGGTGGTCTATCTTCAAATGGCTCATGCTGCCCTCTTGTGTCTGGATGAAACAGGAAAAAAAAGTTTTATGGGAATGTCTCAATCCGAAGCCATTACTCGACGTCACGTGGTTTCCGAGTTATTCAGGAGTTACTGAAGCCTACTGTTGTAATTTCAGGTTAAATTCTTGGTAAGTTCAAATAAAAGTACTTTTTCAAACACTCTGTGTGTGCCCTTGTCTCTCTCAGAGGAGCCCTGCGGGCAGGTTTATCGTGTGATGGTCATTCCTGTGCGCTCCACTGCGCTCCTGCGCCGAGATAAGCTGCATCCCGTGCCTGGCTACGGTAGCATGTGACCGGCTTGTGATCCTAAAGCTTGCGCAGATGACTTTCTGCCCTGAGTACTGTACCAGTCTGAACGGAACCTGTGGAGAAAAAATCTCTCTCTTTCTCCTCCTGGAAGTTTCCACGTACAGCTGATCGTCACGATGTACCATGTGGTGTGTACCATGAGGCTATACTGACAAAGACCCATTATTACATTTCACTTCTTATGCAATTAGCCTTTAAGTGTATTTTATCAGCTATAAACGTCTTCTACATACTATTAATACACTGTCAATATATTAACAATTAATACACTGTATTTATTACACAAAGCATCTTAATCATTTGGTGGAAAGTATGACTACAACTTCATATCTATTCACTCTTCCATTTCATTTGCAATTAAAGACTTGAAAAGCAAAGCAACCGTAACAATTTTACTGTACTTTTTCCTCTT